AGTACGATTTTCTGAATGTTTTAGTAGCTACCCTACTCGGCCAGAGACTCGTAACCTGCTCTATAAGATCTAATTCGCCCTTCAATTTGAATGGAATCCAATTTTCCTACGCGTCAAATGTCTTATAAGATCCTAATTTTACGAAAATAACTTTCTCTGTATTTTTTCTCGCTACAACTCGGATTTTTTGTTAGGAATTGATAAGGTTTTTTGTTATATCAGAAATGTGTTCATAAACATCATTTATTTTCGATGAGAACAGATAATGTGAATACGATACGATCACAGGCACGGATGGCTGTTCACGAAACGTAGTCAAAGTAAATAATGTGAAAATCAACACGGAATGAACAATTTTCCAATTAAATATACATGTTTCATCGTTAATGACGCCCAACGTGGGACTTCAAACTGAAAAGAGTGCTATCAATATTAAATTGGGACTTTATTTTTCGTGTCCCGGTCCACTTTTTTATAGTAAAACTTGCGCCCATCACTCCACATCGAGGTCCAGTCAAACTCCCTCGAAAATCTTGCGATAAATTCACGAAGCAAAACAAATAAATAACTTAAAGTTGCGGAGGTGCAAACGCCAGGGTCTGTGACGTCACCGAGGAATTTATGTGCCGAGACAAACAATCAGTAAATTATCGGCAGGAGATTTATCGGCGCTCTCGAAGGGGACAGGTGTCTTAGTATCGTATAATATAGCTATAAATAATTCATTTATTATACATGTTCTATTTGGTGTCGAAATATTAGATGGCCCTATTAATTTTATGATTATTTCTTATGATTTTCTCTGTCGTATTAGTCGTTTTCTTTGAATTTATGTCTCATCATTTCTGCTGCGTTATAAAATGAATGAAACGTACGATTAATTTAATTATACAAACTCAACGTCAACATTTATACATACGTAATACAAACTGGAATACGTATTTTATCAAAGCTCGAAGCTTCAATAGGCCTCAGTATGTACCTAATACATCACTAATACCAAATACCCTGTTCAAAAGCAATGCTCGCACAACTAACAATACCAAACACCATTAAGAATTCATGAAGACATCAACTAATAGATTAACAGTATCAGGATGGAGTTTAATGGCTGTGTCTAAGTGCGTTATGTAATATCAAAGTACCTCGGATATTCGGATTTCAGTGCGTAATGAACTCAGTAGCACATTAGAGGAACAAACCGTCATCGAATCCCCAACAGGCACGCAAATTTAACTTTCGTCTACCCACTTTTCAGCAATTAGTGTTAGGTCTCAACATAACGAGGCTTTTACTATTTATGTGACAGATAACATTGAACTGTAACCAAATTAAGCCAAGCCAGACTTTATAATTACTACAGTAAAGTCGAAAGCACGAACCGATTTTGTTCCACATTAAAGCTGACGTAATTTCGTGTAGATACGACCTGAAACCTAAATAACAACGGGTTGAAACTAATTATGTTTGGAGTAATCACATTAAGAATTTAATGTTGATATATTGTCTGTCAACTGACACTGATTAATTGGTATTAGTCATTATCAACTCATGGTCCCACGTGGGCGCCATGAAACTCTGTATGATGTAAATTATTATAATTTCATTAGCAGATAAAAGTATGGTAATTTCGACCTTATTTTCAGGAATGATTTTTAAAGCATTATATCCAATAATCACGCCAGTATATGTGAGTCGTCACAAAAGCCTTTACGTAATACAAAATCGATAGCAAAATTACTTTTTGTATGATAATTGCTAAAATTACCTCCATTTAAAATATTTCGAAGGAAACAGTTTAAAAGCTCAATAACGTTAATTGTTAGGTTAGGTAATGAAAATAACAGTATAATAATACGTATCTACCCGAAATTGTATGTTGATAACAAATAGCGTGGTTTAAAGCCCGCAGTTCCGCACCTGAGACTTTAATAGTGCTATCATCAGTTACATTGTTGCATTTCAGGTAGCCACACTGGAATAATAATGTTTTGTATTAAACACTTCCAGAACTATGCAGTGGCAGGAATATATTGCAGAGATATCATCCATATATTTTATGGCAGGTTTTAAATTTTAATTTATTGATGCTTAGTGCAGTGATCGTCATTCGAATACAATATGAACCGGTTGTATAAGGAATGGCTTGCTAGACAGTATACACGTCTTATAACACAGAAAAAAACTTCAAGTACTTTGTACTAGTAAGGGATAAACAGATTTTGATCTTAGCATTTTAATAGACTCAGTCCCCGCAGCAATTTAAAACACGACCATTGAATAGAAAATAAACCGTACTTCATAAAAAAAGCTATGAAACCATGTATCGTCGATATCTGTTTCATTGGCAGTTTAGATAGAAGTGCTCGCCATCGATATTTCTCGTTTCGTTAAACAAAAACTTATTCATCGTATATTTTTCATAGCTTCAAGCCACAACGGGCTGTAACCAAAAACTGAATTCAGCCAGGCCAGTACTGAAGTGTAACACGTTAACACGGTTTGGCCGCCACGCCGTACTATTCAATTTCAGGCTGAAATAAATTCTTGTGACGAAATATTGCGCTGCAGGCTCTATGCTTTTGTATGCGTGGATTGTGTGAGTGATTCATGCGCTGTATGTGTTGGTAATAACTTGGAGGGATTTATTTTGCGCTCTATTGAGGTGTCTGCTCCTGTGTAGATGAGGTTTGGGCCTTTGTAAGTTTTGCATGGCTGAGTAGGTAGGACGTGCCGTTATTATTACATGTTTATGTAAATATAACGCGTGTCACATAGCTTTGTAACTAAGAAGATACATAGAAGTACATAGTATCACTTAAAAGTTATACCAAAATATTATTTGTTGCCAAAAAATAGCGATCAATTTATTTATATCGACCCTCGGTTTTACGGGACGTGATCAAAGGTGCGTTACACAAGGACTCGTTTGTATTGGGGCTTTGTACATTGCGCTTTAACTAGCGGGATGTTCAGTGTTAGTATTGATTACATATTAAGTCTACAAGCCGCTATTATGATGTCAGTCTGCGGCCCCGTGTTGGGCGCCATTAGCGTTTCCGACCCTTTGTGTTTCACTGTATAATTAAAACTGTATTATCGGATTTACATTAATAATAGATTCGGATATTAAAGCATGTTTACTGGAATTGAAAATCTAATTTCAGTTTGTTGATTAAAATTATATCGTTGGTTGGTACAGAATTTATCGATACGCACTGACGATAACACTGCTATAAGTTTAACATTTCGAACGTAGTGTAAATATACTATTTAGTAAGAGTGAAATTAAGTACCAAACGTATTCCAATCTAAGGAAATAGTCGCAATCACCTTACAACTAAAACACAACCCTTCATCAGAAATCAAACGTTGAACAAATTAATAGCAAATTATACCATAAGTTTGTAGTGTAATTTTCAAGTGCGGAGCTCTCGGAAGGGGCGTGTTACTCGGTCGGCGGGCGGCGCACGATTGGCCGCCATTTAACATGTATTGCAGGAAATTGGCGCGCACCTACCCACATTGCGATCCACTCGCTTGCTTGCCGTTTGTGTTATAATTAGTCTCAGCAAACTTGTACTAGCATCTAGTAGGGGTGTCGCGTGACAAATTCTGTATGTTATTAATAATTGTTCAATAATATTTGTTGAAAACTTATATTTTAAATTCTGTTCTGAGTTCTTGTCTATTGTCATGAGCCAATACTAATTCTACTTCGAGCTATTAAACATTTTTAAAAGTAAAATTACGTTATAAAATTTGGCTTATTGATCGGTAATCGCGATTCTGAACAAGAAGGTCGGTTGTCTGTTAATTTATTTATTACGGTTCTTTTGATGTAACCAATCTATCAAGTGCCCAATAATGATTTACAGTTCAACGAACCTGAAAGGTTTTCGGGGCAGTTTCTAATTAAACTCGGTAAAAAGTAAATAAGTTCATTTAACTATACAAATTTTCTTTAGTGTACAGACAGACACATCAAAGACAAGTGTTTATCTCATGTATTTGTTTTTTTTATGTAGAAAAAAATGTTTCTTAAAATACTACATCTTATAAATCACAAGTGGTGAAATAAAATTTGGTCCATAATAAGGTTCAAGCAAAAAGGATAAATGATTAGAAAGCTCGGGTGTGATGTCTCGGAATACCTAATATACTTTTAGTGACACTATGGTAATTTGTATTTTTACACATTGGCAAAAGTAAATAAAAATTCGATACAGTTTTGAATACATTTCTGCGTACCATTTCACATGTAGCTATCCTTACTGAATAAGTTAAATATGACTATGTAGAATTAGCGACGTGCCACTGCAAACTTGTTTGTTTAACTATTTGCGAGCTCAAAGCGGATAACCTGGTAATAGTCACTACCAAACATGCTTCCAGTTTGTTTTCCAGTAAATGTGATTTGCATACATTGCCTGGTTAGTTTTTGGGAGTTTTTATTTTTACTTTTTACCTTTTCAATCCCTTAATAAGGAAGATATGCTGATATATAACCTATCATCGACCTTTCCATAACAACTTATGCTTATGTTAAATCGTTTTACTTGGTCTAACATTCTAAGAATAGATATGAAAATGTTCATAATTTTGACGTGTAAAATGATGTTATTAGCAAACGCCTATTATAAAAATAAATTCATTATTTTAATGTTAACAAAAAAAATGATGATGAATTTGCTCAACATTTTATTAAGTCATAATTATTTCTTCTTATTATTGCTAATCGTAATAATAAAATCAATTCATCTAGCAAATATGGGAAACTTAAGTACTTAAGTACTTTTATAAACTTAGGAACCATAGATAGCTGGACTGGCAAAATAAAGAAATATAAGTATATCTCTAGTTATAAATGTTGTAACAAACCCGACTTTGTTTTATATTATGTATATAGATTGTGAAATATCTTATAATAATTCAGAAAAATAATTTTAGCCAAGTTTTTTTTTTCATTAAATTAACAAAACACTTTTTGCAAATTCCAGATGAGGTTGACGTGATCGGCTACACCTCGAACCAGAGCGACAGTGAGTCGCTTGTGTCGGGGCACAGCGGCGACAGCGGGGTCGGCGGAGGCGCGCGGCGGCGACCGCGTACGCCGCTCAAGTCGCGCGTTGCAAACGTGCCGCGGACACGCCGCGCCGCTCGCCTCACGAAACTCGTCTAGGTGAGTTTAAAAACATGTTTTTCTATGTGACACGTCGACCAAACGTGTGACCTGATTTTTTTATGTGATAAGTCGGCAAACGAGCTAACAGATTACCTGATGGTAAGCAATCAGCGTCGCCCATGGACACCCGCAATGACGGAGGAGTTACGAGTGCGTTGTCGACCTTTTGGGAATAAGGGATTTAGAGATTTTGGAATTGGGCCTCCGGTATTCTCACTCACACGGCGAACACAAAGTTGTGGTTGTTTCACGCCGGATTTCTGTGAGGCCGTGGTACCACTCTGGTCGAGCCGACACATTAGTGCCGAAGCATGGCTCTTCCACACTTAATCGTTCTATATGCGAGTCTCGCGCTGCTATCGTGTCGTCGCGACGCGCACGCTGCTCATTAATAAGGGTCCCGTTGTGACTTGAAACTAGTAGAGCTTTTCTTCTTAGTTAATTCACGTTTTAATAAGTCGTTATTTTCTATAAATTTAGTACCTAAGTCTCACGATAGTTACTATTCAAAATGTTCAAAGTTTAGTTGTTTAGGGTTTGTTGCCATTTTAAATTGTAATCGGCAATGTAATGTTGTTGCAGGTGGGCGGCAGGCGGCGCGGGTCTGCAGCGGCCACGTCGGCCCGCGGCTAACGTTATAACTGCATAACGTAAACAAACGTAGGACATTTTGTTGATACATGTACTAAAGCGAATGTTGTTTATTGTGACTGAATTGACGCCGGCGACATCGCGACCGTTCCACGCGACAGAGTGACTCGGCGGCACACACACGCCCGCGCCGCAACACCCACACACACCACACACCACACTACACAAACACACACAAACACACACACATACATACACACACACGACACTATACACGTGAACACACTACACACCTCTGCGAACCATCACTAAGTACAAAATTGCCAAAAATTTATATTCAAAGTTTATTTTTCACATTTCAGACGAATTTGTATTTGTTTTTTTTTTTTCTTATTATTATTATTCTTTCTATTTAATTGTACCGAGCCTGGCTCGTTTGGATGAGTTGCAATATTGTGTAGTCTAGTGGCGCATTGTTCCATCGTGTCACACAATTCCAACTGTGAAGTCACAAGTGTGAAGTGTGACACAATTCCACTGTGTTGAAAACACGTAATGTGTGCAAATCTCTATCTACCAAGATGTCACTATAATTTAAATATTTTGTATTTCACGTTTATAGTAACTGCGTGCGATGTGGAGGGGGAGAGGGGCAGGTGTCGTAACCACACAACTCATACAAACACACGCTGCCCCCAACACGCCATTATCAAATGACCACGTTATTTTTGTATTTATTATTCAATTTTTCTATCGGACATATTCGAATATAAATTTTAAAAGTCTTAGAAAAGAAAAAATATTCGTTTTCGAAAAACTCTCTAGGTACTTATTATTATTATTGATTTCCACGAAAAAATAAAATAAAAAAATACAAGTTGCTATTATAGTGTATGTTGTATAGATATATCAATTTTATATTTTGTATATAATTATTTTTCTTGTAAAAATTAATCAAATAGAATTAGATCTGTGTATGTTTCCGAACGTTTTTTTTTTATAATTGGGTTTTATTAACAGTAAAAAAAGGGAACCCACCAAAAATTATTTTTTTTGTTTTTAATATTTAAGTCAATTTCTAACGAAGACATCCATCTGAACTCAGGTACTAACATATTCGGCTATGAGAATTAGTTTTATGATCGCGTTGATCGACATAAGCGTGACCTGGCTGTGGCAAATATTATTCTTTTTTTAAATTAAAATCATTATTTGCAACAAGTTTATTTACGAAATTCATTTTTCAATTCTATAATAAGGAACACAAGGCTTGTATTTAAACGCAGGCTACATGCAGCGTCATTTATATTCCGTAAATCGTCAGTTGTTCCGCCATATTGCTCACATACGCTAGAACGTTCGATTTGCGTGATGTAAGCGTCGCTCGTCTCACACATACATACATTCACTCACTCACTCATATGAACTTCTAATTTTTTTTAAATGAAATACGCGGTAGTTGTAGACAATACGATATTATATTCTGTGTTATTTTTGACTCTATCCCTTTTAGGATACAGTCCAAAATGGCATAAAAAATCAACTGCTCGTAAATTCATCCACTAACCATCGTATCGTTAAGTATTAATATTGAATTATAATTAATGATCTCACTTCATTGTCACACAATATCGGCTGAGTAAATGTGTCATACACAGACCTCTAACTGATACATTTTTGAACGTAGTTCTGAGTACGAACTAATATTTTAACGTTATTTTACTAAGCTGACCTACTGAACACTTTTCTTCGCTATCGCGCATCTCATCGCTAGCTATTATTCTGCCGGGCGTGATGACACAATTATTTGGTTGCGATCCTAGTATATGTGGACATTCATGTACCAAAAAAGTAATGTATACACGACTGGAGCTAAACTTTACATAAATGTGTTACAAAATGATCACAGAACAACATCTCAATGAGTACATATATATTTTTGTTATAACTATATCTTGTAATAAATTGTTGATTCATTTCTGAAATGAACGACTGAATGTTTCATTGTATTATATTAATTTTTCATTAAAATATCTACATATTGGCATTCGGTGGGGCTTCGTACGAGTCTATCTCATAACTTCCTCCTTGCCCGACTGAATGAGTAGCGTGTATCTAAATATAATTTGCATAAAATATTATTGTAAATTGTTTTAGGTATGGATGTTTATATTAAGGATAGTTGTAAATGTATTATCATTTGTAAGTATAATGTTTGTTTGTTTGTTTGTTTGAATGACAGTTTGATCTCTTACGGTAATGTTGCGAGGGCGGTGTGACGCCGCACTGCGCGTCGCGCGTCGCCATGCTGAGTCTGTCGAACGATTCCATCCATCCGTTAGTTCAATGTTCAGCGTACGTTCTTAGTGTAGCCAGTGTCGGGGCCGCAGTGCAGCCGGACACCGCCATCTAACCAACGCTCAGACTTACGCCTCTGTCAGAATATTTATATCAACAAAACTATGTTTATCATTCGGTTACTATTTATGTATCACAGAAATTATTTAATTTATTGTTAGAACCGTGCTTTGTCGTTGAAATCGTACCAATGTACCAGTGTTTCGCTTCGATGAAGTCGCGCCGTGACTGCGGCCCGCGGGCCTCAATGTAGTAGTGCGTAGTTCCGTACGCACGAGTGTGACACGGGTGCAAGCGGCGACGGGACGCTATAAGAGTACAAATTCTGTATAAGCCCCTCAACTTGTGTGTTAATTCTAAATGTTAATTTTAAACACGAAACAGGGAGAAGGTATCGTCAGAATCCGAGTAACGAGTAGCGAGTAGTTAGCGCGGGCGACGTCAGGCGAACCAGTCAGCTCTGCCTTCGGTGTTGTCTCCTCTCATTGCGTTGTGTGTCCTATTGGTACAGTGCGCCTGTGTTGCAGCCTCTTCCCATTGCCTCGTAGCGTGCCCCGCTGTAACGATAGGGTACCACGACGAACGCGCACTGTACGCGCGCACTCTTATTAGATAAGAAATGTGTTATTAGAAATGAATGCAATAAACTCGTCACGCCCGCGGCCCGGCTCGCCTCCGCGACCCTTTACTCAACTTAGTCGCTGTAAAAATTAGTCCGGCGTTGTAAAAAAAATATCAGTGCATTTGTAAATATTGGAGCCAAAATTTTTATACAAATTATTTCATAAATATATTCTTGGACCAAGTTGTGAGCGGGGGCGAGTCGCGGCGCGGGCCGGCTGGCGCGAGCTACGCCGCCTTCGTCACGTCGTGCTCGTCACGTCGGTCACGTTGGCCACGTGGGCCGAGTACGTGTCACGGCGCGTGTCGCCGCGGCCAGCCAATCGTTGTCGGATCGTAGAGGCAAACATTAGGTACCTACTATTGTGACTATGCTGATGTGACATGGCAGCATTATTCAATGTAATTGACGAAACGTGGCACATATAATTTACTATATGTAAAAAGTTATAGAAATAATTAATTTAATAAAAATTATAAATAAAATTTTATTTTGTATTATTTTTCTCTTCCAAACATCGGTACCCAATCTGACCAGGGACGTACGCTATAAAGCGAAAGGCCCTTAGAACATTTCACGAGGAGAGAAATCAATAAAACGAACATTTTGTAAGTATAAGTATTCCTAATCAATCGTACACAAAAATCAAAATATCTCAAAAACTAAAAGCCACATGTTTGTTATATTTGTTACTCAATCACGCCAAATCGGCTGGACGGATCTGGATGATATTTGGCACAAGCATACAATACACTCCGGAATAGGACATTGGGTACTTTTTATCAACATACCATGCGGGCGAAACCGCGAGCGGAGGCTAGTTATGAAATAAAATCTGAAACTAAAAATATTATGGTGCAAGCGACCTCTCATGACGACGATTATCAGGTGACTGGTGGAACCTTGAACTGGATACTATCATATTGAGATTAGGCTCATTAGACTTGCTCCATTCCTCCCATTTGCTCTTAAAAGTCACTTTGTTGGTTTGGTTTTTTTATGTTATTGGACAGTAAACGAGCAGACTGATTACCTGATGGTAAGCAATCAATGCCGTCCATGGACACCACCTGCAACAGCAGAGGAGTTACGAGTGCGTGGACGACCTTTTGGGGATTAGGGATTTGGAGATTCAGGGATTGTGGGAGGAATTGGGACTCCGCTTTTCACTCACATGGCGATACTATTATACTGGTTATTGTTTTGATGTATGTTTCAATCCAAATATGGTGACTTAATCATATTAACAAAACAAAATTATAGTAACATGTGACCGACTGAATAAAGGCTTTTTTTTAATAAATATATAAATTGGTAAAATATTTAATCATAAATTATGCTTTTTATTTCATAAATTTAGATCAAGTGCTGCTTGTTCGAAAATATTAACTAAAAGTGACAACCCTGGGGATCAACGCAAGAGTAGACAAATAATTCGGCGGGCGGCCTTAGATAACTTAGTACCTACCTACTGTATATTTTTATACTTTGCTGCAGGGCGCCACCTGAAAATCAGCGTTGAGCATGTTCGCTCAACTATATGCTGAGGTGGAGGCCCTTTTGGCATAGGCACATGAATGAATGAACTGTTGAAGCATTGAATTAATTTTTGCAAATAGGCCATAAACCGGCTAAAACTTTTACATGTCAAATTATATGTAAAATACTACATAAAGACGGCATTTGCTTGACTACTCTGAGAAGAAATGCCGAAACAAACTCAGAGGTAAATGTAAATAAGTTTGGATGGAGGATTCCATCTAATACGGACCTTCTTAAGCCTTAACCAGATAACTATCTAAATAATGTGGGTTGGATTCTCACACATAGTAATGCTCCTATTCGCTACGGGTGTGTTTGAGTTGAAGATAAAGAAAACTTCGAAATCAGAATCAAATATTTCTTTATTAATTTCTAAACTGGCTACATCGACCAGCGAATTACCAGAGTTACAATATCATACAAAACAACCATACATACATACTATTTTATATATATACATGCAGTACATAGACATTGGCTACTCTTTGGTTGAGGTATTATTTAAATTAAGAAAAATAACTAGCATTACATATCAATATGGACACAGACCACAATGCTCCATAACATGAAGACCATAAGGCTTAGGATTGAAAAAAAAATTCAAGTTTACAATTCTGTAATGTAATTTCGACTTTAATTTTACTGACATAAAAAAGGTTTTCAAATACGGTGTATAGTATATTCAGTATAAATTGTTAGTTCAATTGACACGTTCTACTGGACGGGAAGTGAGCGCAAACTATAGCGAGTGAGAGAGACAGAGATAGGTAATGCGACTGAATATAGTAAACCGTATTTCATTCATAAACCATCAAAAAAACATCAATAATGTAAACCAATATCTTATCAACATTATTTAGACATTACTGACATACAGTGAAGGAAAACATCGTGGGGAAATAGTTTCTAACTATAAGTTTGAAATCGATAATCCGCCCTGAGCAAGGGTGGTGATTAATACTCAAACCTTCATTGTGTGCGAAGAGGCCTTTGCTCAGCAGTGGGCGCTTATAGGCTGATGATGTAATGTGGTGTACATCTTTGCAATTCTTAGTTATTTGAATATGGCACATGGAGCATTCAGATTAAAATTGGCTTCAATTTTTTTATGGTTTATGACAAAAATGGGAAATCGTTTTAGAATACTTTGTATGTGGAAATGACATCCCTATCATAATATCCTTTATGTTAGTTATTTTTCTAATATCAACACCGAATAATTCACAATAAAACATTAGATAGGAAACGACTGTAAATTAAGTA